TGAGATTTTTTAGGTCATCAAGTCCGTTTTTATGAAAAGATATTTTGTGAAGGGTCCGTTAACGGACCCAAATTTCTTCTAAACAGACCCCTGCCATGTAACCCAAATATGGGTTAATTATATCAGAAAGTCCTTCTCGAAGGCAAAATGTCTTCCAATACTAGATCCGGAAGTTCCCTTGTCTTCTGGATTGGGTTCAAAGTGACACGGCTGCGGAGTTGAACACGAGTAGTCGTAAACCCGAAAAATAGTGAGACTGCTAAGCGACGGTTATAAAAATATAAAATGAAGTCCTATTCTTTAAAAAATGATATATACTGCACATCAACCTGAATAGTTTTGTTTTTGATGAACAGTCTTATTGGTTCAAAGGGGGGTGGCCTGAAGTATACCAACCATTGAGTTACGGAATTGGACAAAAAAAAGAAATGTAATTTCTCTCTATAAAAACTACGTTCTTTTACGAGGGATATATATATATATATAATTAAGGAAATTAATAAGTTTTATTTACTGCTCATAAGCTACAAGTATATAGAGCTCATATAATAAGTTAAAAATGTACAATTTTAGGTTATTTCTTGCTTTACATTTCATGTTAAAGTTCCTTTTTTTATCTAATCTTTTTGCATCAGAAAAATTGACTAACTCAGATTTTTTTTTATTATAAGAGATGTCATTTTAACTAATAGAGCGACAAAATATGCAATAAGTAAAAATAACAATAGGCGGCATCGTGAAAATTTAGGTTTTTTTCTTCTTTTTTTTTTTCTTTACATCTCTCAATGAACTTTTAACTTGCCATTACTTTTAAAACTTATAAGGGTTTTTCTCCAAAATGTGAAAGAGATAAAATTATGCGCTTTTTAATTTAATGCTGTACAATTGTCTATTTTAAATTTTTTTTTCAATTACCTAATTTTTCAACAAAGTTTATTTTTAAAAAATTAAAACCTAACAATTACAACAACTTCATTTTTTAACAGACAGTCCAATTAAATTATGTATTTTTTAAAATCTACTTAATAACAATTTACATTATTGTGTTAGCTAATGCAAGCAGATTTAAAGATGCTGAAAAACTGTCATGACATAACATTATTAAAAGAAAGATATTTATTTACATTATCAGGAGTTTGTTTATAAAAAATGTGACATTATCAGGGGTTTGTTTATAAGAAATTTGGGTCGGTTAACGGACCCTTCACAAAATATCTTTTCATAAAAACGGACTTGATGACCTAAAAAATCTCA